TCGGGCCTGTTTCAGTCGATCGTGTTCATGCGCCGGTGATGAGTTGATAAAATTCACCCACAGTAACCAAGAACTATGGTGTCCCTTAATTCATCGTGATCCGCTACAATGTTCCCTTCTTCCAATAGATCCCACATTTTCTCTGGGTGCGAGCGCTCCTGATCATCACTTCCACACTATCTCTTCTTCCACACTACTTTTATCATTTTCCATGCCATTTTCCCTTTCCATTACACTTTCTTGTCCGATTTCTGCATCTTCGCATATTCGCACCTCAGCCGTATCCTTTTCATCCTCCAAATACTCATCCGCCTCGAATGATCTGCAAATAAATACTAGTTAGTAAGATTCTCAGCAAACAAAATTATGGTAATATCGAACTTACTCATCCATTTTTCGATAAATAAATCAAACAGTTTAGAATATATATTTTTTTTTCACCAGAGTCACAGCATGACGAATGTTTTGATTTCGTTTTTGCGCTAATCACGACGTTGGAGCTACTGGTGACGTGATGACAGGGCTGCCAAATTTTATTTTTTGAACGAAAAAACCAGCTGGCTGGCATGCCGCCATGTTATTGAAACCAACATCTGAAACGTCACAATTCCAGTGTGAACTGCAAAAATGGCGTGACTGAATTGTCTTATTTTTATCAAATGAAATTATTTTCCCTTTTATGCCATATAAATGGTTGACTTCGTGGAAGAAAATCAGAAAATAATATTTTATGAGTCCTAAGTTTATTTTTCATAAAATGTAAGCAAAAATATTAAATATTATCACGCCTTTTTTGAAATTCTGGCTTGAATCTTCTATTTGTTTACAAATTATGAGCTGTCAGTGGGGCCCGCAATTCGCGGGTCCGCAGCGATGTTAGCTCTTTTCAAGGCAACAGCTGGCTGGCATGCCGCCATGTTATTGAAACCAACATCTGAAACGTCACAATTCCAGTGTGAACTGCAAAAATGGCGTGACTGAATTGTCTTATTTTTATCAAATGAAATTATTTTCCCTTTTATGCCATATAAATGGTTGACTTCGTGGAAGAAAATCAGAAAATAATATTTTATGAGTCCTAAGTTTATTTTTCATAAAATGTAAGCAAAAATATTAAATATTATCACGCCTTTTTTGAAATTCTGGCTTGAATCTTCTATTTGTTTACAAATTATGAGCTGTCAGTGGGGCCCGCAATTCGCGGGTCCGCAGCGATGTTAGCTCTTTTCAAGGCAAGGCAAACAAGATAGGGATGCCAGCTAGCTGCAAGGCAAGGCAAACAAGATAGGGATGCCAGCTAGCTGGAAAAAACTCGTCGCAATTGTGCAGTGTTGCCAAATGAATGGCGCACGAATTACATATTTTATCTGCATGCAAAATATTATCATTTCCGCGAACTACTCATCGCAGCGCTGGCATTGGTTATATGAGGGGGTTAGAGACAAAGGGGTGTAAGTAACTTTGATCAATTCTCTTCATCGACTTTCTCTTTTGATAGCCACAGCCTTATAAACAGATCGCTATTGCGCTATTTCTGCCAGATAGTTTGATAAAGGAGGTTCTCATCGAGGGGGGCGACACATCTAAATCTCAAGTTTAGATACTCAACAAATCTCACACTAGAGAATCAATCTTCGAAAAATCTTCTTTCATTTGTCGCATTTACTTGCATCGCTCATCATCTTATTGCAGGAAATCTTCAGAATCGTCATCAATCTTCTTTCTATCTACTCAGCGTGCGCGCAGCTAGCCACAGCAAAACACAATCTTTTTTGCATCGTAGATAGAGTCGTCCCCCTCGGTTCTCATCTAGCATCCAGAATGGCACACGAATCAAGGATTGTGTTTGCAGCTGAAATATTAACGAAGGAGAAAGTCGATGAAGAGAATCGATCAAAGTTACTCACATCCCTTTTCTTCTATAATATTCTGTTTACCTTGTATGCAACATTGCTTGCGACTTAGTGAGCTAGATTGGTTTTTCGACAGAAGCTCGAGAGATGTCGTTACTGACCGAGGGGGACGACTCTATCTACGATGCAGATTAGATTGTGTTTTGCTGTGGCTAGCTGCGCGCACGCTGAGTAGACAGAAAGAAGATTGATGACGATTCTGAAGATTACCTGCAAAAAGATGATGCACGATGCAAGTAGATGCGCCAAATGAAAGAAGATTTTTCGAAGATTGATTCGCTAGTGTGAGATTTGTTGAGCATCTAAACTTGAGATTTAGATGTGTCGCCCCCCTCGTTACTGACGTCCTTTTTCTTAGGTACAATGAAAAACTAATTCAAATATTTACGTCTGTATGTCTATTATATCAGTATTAAATTATGTTTGGAATTATTGTCGCGCTTATGTTAAATTCTCATTTGGTGATGGTCGAAGCGCGCCGCTCATAAGCGCGATGCAACCCCGCCCATAAGGATTATACACAGGTGTGTAACTTTGATAGTATTTTATAGCAGCGGCTTGAGGAGCGAATCCTGGATAAAGAGCCGCCGTGTGTTAACTCAATGGGTGCAGTCGTACGGCCATAAACATAAAACAGATGGCATAATCAACAATCAATACGAAACTAACGATTTTAAATTGGCTCACCACTTTAGTAGCCTATTGGCAACAATCAATACGAAACTAACGATTTTAAATTGGCTCACTACTTGACTAGCCTATTGGTCCCAAGCAAACGATTAACGTGCCCCATTCTAGTCGAAATTCCACTACTACACAATGTTTGTTTTGATCCGCTATGAAAGTTTGACAGATAAAATGAGGGGTTAGTGGATTTTCCCATGTTTCGAGGGGTGAATCGATAAGCTTGGGACCGAATAGAGTACCAGAGCTGAGCCAAAAAGTTGAGCACGTTATTTTGGGACCTTCTAGTCTTAGAGTTACCTCTATGCTATTGGTCCAAGCAAACGATTAACGTACCCTATTCTGGTTGAAATTCTATTGCTACACTATGTTTGTTTTGATTCGCTATGAAAGTTTGACAGATAACATCAGGGGTGTGTGGATTCCTGCAGAACATGCAGGGGTGAGTGAAATAGCTTGGGACTGCTTGGGACCGTTGTTCTGGTACTGAGTGAGCCAATAATAATAATAATAAATTCTTCGGGACCCAGTGGTCTTAGAGTTACCTCTATGGTATAATCCCATTTTGAGAAATTATCCTGCCACACACAATATTGTTGTAAAGAATACTAAAGTTCACGAAATTTAGTATGGCACCTTTACAGATTACTGTAAAAATGTAAGCAGAGCATCGATCAATAAAGATTTTGAAATGTATACCTTGAAATCATAGAAACTTAAAAGCGAGCTTAAAAGTAAAGAATTACCGACATAAATCTTTATTTTTGTATAAAGAACTTTGAAGAAGTTTCCTCGGAAGTTTCACGAATGGTTGGTCGGGATCTATCTGGGAGGGAGAAGCAGACTCGAAAAATATGAACGTCAAAAGGAGCCAGAATCAAGCAGTCATGAACTGTCATTGGAAGCCAAGCAGTTTGATGATGCTTTTCTCACACTTCAACAAGAATACACAAGGCGGTATTGAAATCTTGCGTGAAGTAATTTATGACAAACTGTCGTTTCCAGCTATCTCAATCAAAGGGACACCGTTTTTTTTAAATTGATCAATTGAATATACTCAAATCCATATAGAAAGATACCATTTACCAAGATTTTTGTCAACATATTTAGGGGCACAGCAAAATATCAAACAGCAAAGTACATTTTCTCACTGCAAAGTGAACAATCTCATACAACACTAATAAAAATTAAATGCTAATTTTCATGTGTCACACACATGAATTTTTGCAATGTGATAAACAAATTATATGTATATGTCGGACACATAGTTCTTATGTGTACACATAAAATTCATGTGTAACCACACATACTATTCATTTGACTCATAAATTTCATGTGTACTTCTGAGTGGATTCTGTTTTTGTGTGGATACATGAACATCATGTGGAATTTAGATGGAAATTCGCAAATAAAAATGTGTCGAATTTTATTAGTGAATCATTACACATTCAAAGCAAAACCTAAGAGGAAGAGGAGATAACTGGCTTCTTTTTGTCTGTGATGTGTTCTTCTTCTCTCGCGAAAACGACCGTGCAAAAACTATTTCATTATGGGCGACGCAGTCGACTGCCAAAATACAAGAAAATAGATTCCCTGTTGTAAAAATTCTCGCGTTTCTATACGTTCGCCCCAACAATCAGGCGCTGGTTCGCGTAGGACAGAAAATTGGTTCATAAAAGTCCCCCTATTGTCTCTTCTTCCTCTTAGAGCAAAACAGGCTATTTTGCTACGCCTGTTTTTATTTGATTTCAATAGTACAAATTATCATGGCAAGAAGAACAAGTATAAAATGAAATCCATGTGTGCTATCTGCTCCTCCCTCCCATGTCGGAATGTTCTCAAAGCCAGATACGTCCTTTTCATAATTCATTCTTGATATTTTCACCTCTTTGCGGCCCCTCGTTCGAAGTATCCAAACTGCCAGCCTCCAGAGTGACGTTTCTGTCAAAATCTGGCATTTACACGCATCATAAAACTGCCAGCATTTGCGTCGTCGTCGCGAGTGATCAACACGACTGCGGTTATGCTTCGAGTTTCACATAAATAGTGAACGTTCGAGCGTGCGGAAGGGTTTTCCATTTATGTCTCCGTGTTTCGATGGTCCGATAAAGTGTGTGGTAATTTGATTGCAGATACTGTTTCCGGAGTGAGTGTCCTATCAGTGGTCAAGCATTTTTTTTAATTACCTGCGAGGTTTCGTCAATGTGAGTGAAATGATCAAAGGCTTTAGTGAGTGGAACGGATAAGTAGTGGGAGTGAATGGAACAACATCCCAACTTCCATCGTCGTAGTTTAGCTTGTTTTATTGACACGGTGTCAGTTTCGCGGATTTGATTCCAGAAGTTGGTGTGTGTTCGACGATAGGAAAAAGGTGCTTCGGAAGGCTGAACAACGTGTAGGCCTGCTTTACTTCTTTGTGCCACGGAAACATCACCAAAAAATAGGTGAAGGTTTCGGTAAAAACGGGTTAAACCTAAATCCACGAAAGAGTGTTGTGTTATTGGAATCAGTTCCGGACTCTGTGTACGTGTCCGGAAGACAGTGTTCACAGGGCAAGAAGAAGATAGCTATTTTGGGAATACCGTAAAAGATATATAAAAAAGAAACACCATTAACCGTGTGCGTACACATTATTCTGCTCCAATCGATGTGTGTTGCAACGGGGAAGCTGTGTGCTGGAGCTGCCGCCGATGATGATCAAAACGGATGATTGTTGAGCCGCAGACTCGTCCGGGGGATGATAATTTCGTGCTATTTATTTTCCTGTCTCTCTAAAACCAACATTCAGCTAAATAAATAAACTACATGCACATCAAGAGTGGAGCTTTGTATTGTACGAAGAAAAAATCAGAGTGAAATTGGTTTCATTTTCGGTTTGGTGGCCGTCGTAGGAAACCCGCGAAGCAAGAAGAGGTGCTAATTGGAAGAAGTTGATGAAAATCGTTTGAAAGTGGAATTCGATTCTTATAGAAAAGCGGTTATCATCATTGTTGGTTGCACACTTCAATCGGTGTGCTTGCAAGAAAAAGAAGGCATCGAAGGTTTCGACGTCACGGACAATGAACACTGACCTACCGGTGTGAGCACGGACCGCGCGGCAGACACAAAAGTGGGAGCTGTTTTCGAGTTGCGTCCAGTTGTCTGCTACAGTCATCACCACCGTCGACGTCGCAGTTGTGTGGTAAGTGTTTTGAACGAATATATGGGGGGGTATTGTAGGATCATTGCGAGGCCATTATCTCATTCTGATAATTTGGAGAAAAGCAGACAGAGCACCGGATGGGCATCATAAATGCCGCAACAAGATAGAAGTTGGTTGACTGAAATTGAACATTGAATTGCACTTCTCTTTTTTTGTAGCGGTATGGTGTGCTGTATTAATAGATTGTAAATTTGACTCTAATTGGTCGTTTCGTTACTGCAGGCAAGGCAGAGTTTTAAAAATGTGCAGTTCTGGTGATCTTGTTATTGCCACGTATTTACTCTAATATGCGCAGGAGTCATGTAAGCTTATCAATAATGACTGATTAAATGACAATAATTCACGGGGTAATTACACGATACGTATACAGGTATATACTGCCTATACTACCCATAATCGCATAACAGTCCCATATGGATAGGAAATCAAGCAACGATGGGACTGATATGCCAAAGGATAAATGCAGCATAAAAACGTTAAAACAAAGCAATCAATGCTAGGCCCAAGCGTTATGCTCGCTACGGCTACTTGTTATAAGTAGAGATAGGGGTGTCACTTCCCTGTGATATGCGATTACGGGCAGTATAATCCCATATCAGTCCCATATGGAAAAAGTAGACATGGAGAAAATGGCAGTTGAAGTTACGAAGTGCAATTCCTATGTAAATATATGAAAAATCATAATAAATTAATTGATAATTTTATAACGTTGAAGTGAAAATCCATATGGGATTGATATGCGATTATAGGCAGTATAGGTATACTGCCTATAATCTCATATCAGTCCCATATGGATTGTCGTCAATTTTAAGATAACAACGTTATCCACCATCAATTGGCATGCACTTTCATATTACGCGATAAAACTACGGACTTTGATAATGAAAAATGTGAAAACAACATGAAGTCGGTTGGTCCCATTAAGCAAAGTAATTGCATATCAGTCCCATCCTGAAATTCGATTGTTCAGAGGTCAAGTTACAGTTCTGCTTTTTGGTTCGTCATATTTTTGGCTGATGTAACAAAAAAAAAAACATGCAATCTTCATTGTAACAGATTTCAACTTGAAAATAAAATATCAATTAATTTACTTTATTTTTTTTATTTTTACATGAGAATTGCACTTCGTAACTTCAACTGCCATTTTTTCAATGCCTACTTTTCCATATGAGACTGATATAGGATTATAATACGTAAGTTGTTAAGCCTCTTGGGTCATGCAGAGCATAGAAGGGAGACGCCTAAAGCCTTACAGTGCGAATTGAACGACCAGAAACCTGGTAGCTATATGTTTGCTTTCAAGTCAATAATCAACTCACTTAAACCGTGTATTTGCTATTTAAGCAACGAACAAAGTTCTATCGGGTCAGGCAATGGAAAACGTCACTCATTTCGATCGAGAAATTACCCTTGTTCGTACTACAACCCATGTTATAATAATTATCGACAAGAAAAATGTCATCAAACCTTGTGTAAGGTTATAACTACCTAGTCTGAACATAACATAAGCGACGGTCAAAGCCCACTTGGGACAGGCAAGAGGAAATTCGTTTCGAAGGAGGTAACTGCCGAAGCGACGGAAAATTCCGATCGCGTCAGGTAAAGGTAAAAGTAGCTCGGATCGGAATTAGCCTAAGCGATGGACAGGGCCCGGTTGGGCACATAGGTTGGGTCAGGCTAGAAGAAGTCATCTCAAAAGAGGAAACAACTTAAATGACGAAAAATTTCGATCGGGTCAGGCCTTGATAGCGTGAAGAACGGCTTCAGCCCCCGAGAACCTTTTCCAACCAACCAATTTTTTCGGAGATTCCGAAGCCGTTCTCATACTCGTTTCGAATGAAGATACCTACGCACGAAAAAAAAAACACGCCGGTGTTACGTCAAAGGTTGTTAGCTTTCGTCCATCCTTTTCTTCAGATAAAAGCTACATGATTCACTCGTGGATTTATTTATTTATTTTGTCAAGCAAAAAAAGACTACATACAATGGTTACAATGTTTTACATACATGCTATACTTAATTTCTATTGTGTTTAAGTCGGTTTTTAATTTGTTCTTTTGACATAGTGATGCTAATGACTGAGCAGGATACAACACACTTAGAAATTATCGCCGACTTCAGTCATTTTTACCGAAATATGAACAGCTGAACTGTTCGGTAAAATTTAAGCAATTCAATTCAATTGCTTTTCAGTTACTTTGAAACTAAATCTCCAATCTACAGTTTTTTAGGTCGATGTGTCGTCGACTTTGGAAAGCAACCGTTTCGTGATGAGTGCGTGAGTGCTGACCAAGTTTTGCGCCCATTGCTGCAATGGAAGCGCTCTGTCCCCCGTTGGCGATACTGTTATACAATTAAACCACTGGAAGCGGATTCCGTTCTGATGGAGGAGGCTTATTGGATAGCTGAAGATAGATTGTTTATTGTGTTGTACGTTTTGACTATAGTTCCACGATGTTTTGTACAGTGAACAAGAATCCTCGGATCTGTAAAGTTAATTCGATTGAACTTTATCTCAACAGGTGTTGACACAATGTGATTTCTGCCCAGTGCTCTGAATGTCAACGTGAAGAAATTCAAGCAAGCGCCGGTAAACGGCGGGAGTAACTATGACTCTCTTAAGGTAGCCAAATGCCTCGTCATCTAATTAGTGACGCGCATAAATGGATTAACGAGATTCCCTCTGTCCCTATCTACTATCTAGCGAAACCACAGCCAAGGGAACGGACTTGAAAACACTAGCGGGGAAAGAAGACCCTGTTGAGCTTGACTCTAGTTTGGCATTGTAGGGCGATATAAGAGGTGTAGAATAGGTAAGAGCCGGGGTAACATATTATCTCCCCGACACCAATGAGATACCACCACTTTTACTTACATGATCAGGTGGAACAAGTGCTAAGGTTATTGCAACCTCCTAACATAAGGTTTCTTGTTCAGTGTTCAGTCATGTCGTCATTTCTGGCCATAATGCCTGCGGTTATCGCGTCCGTCGCCCGGCTCTGGGCGTGCGATCCGAACGGGTGGCTTCGGCTGCCCTAGTAGGGTCCTGCCCTCGGGTCCGTACGGCACACACGGCCACAGTTTGGTCAACGTTTACACAGTATGACATCTGGATACTGCAAGTCATGGACAGTGCCAGGTGCGGAGTTTGACTTCTGCGGTACATCTCCAAAACAATAACGGAGGTGTCCAAAGATCAGCTCAGTGTAGACAGAAACAACACGCTGAGGATAATGACAATCCATTGCGTAAAAGTTACGTGATTTGGTTGATGGTTTTCACAGTGATTCTATGCTTCACAGCTTTCTTTGTTTTGAATAATGACCTCCAAGTATTCAAATTACTTTCATTTACTGTCTATCTTTGAATATACAAACCAGAGGTGAAGTGAGGTAAACAAGAACTCGACAGTGAGCATGCATAAGGGGGTAAATGCGATGATCGATTCTTTTCATCGATTTTCTCTTTGCATTGCTACAGCTAAGCGGAACAATTTTCTAGCATTTGTTCAATGTAGAGTTGTAACAGGTTGTATTGACTATCAAAAGCAACAGCAAACGCACCGAGAAACGTTAAATCTAGCGAGTTATTAACAAAAGAGAAAATCGACGGAGAGAATCGATCATCGCGTTTACGCCCTTATGCATGCTCTCTGTCGAACTGTTTCTAATGTAGTTTGAACTAGGGTAGGTGTACCAGTTATGGTTATACGTCCCTTTTGTGGTGTGTTCTAATTATAGCCTATGAGATTCCCATAGGTCATAATAGCAACGTGTACATAGGTACATCTACTATACATGTGCAATTCAAGCTGAACATTGCATTAGGTCCTAAGTAACATTGATAGATTCTCTTCATCGACTATCCTTTTCGTTAATAACTTGAGCACATAAACGTTTCTTGTTGTTTTTGTCGTATTATATTCTAGATAAAAGCTTCTTTTATCGATCTGTGTAAAAATACCTGGAATTGTCTTTACATGGACGTGGGGATACAAAGAGAAAGTCGACGAAGAAATTCTGTCAATGTTACTTACGATCTAGTGCAATGTTGAGCTTGAATTCTCAAATAGAACGAGCCAAATCCGTTACAAAAAGCAATGTCCTACACATAATTGTTAAAATGTTAGCAATTTGATAATCTGTTACCAAATTGTGGTTTAATAGTTACTCACCAATCAAAACAAGTCAACACAATAATCTGATATCAACACTGCATCGCTGTTATATTGAAATTGCACTGATTTTTCATACTTGCAGATCACTTATCATTTCCGGAGAACTTTGAGATTAGGGCGTAATTGCTTTTGTAAACAAACACGTAATTTGCCGATTTTTCGCATATTAAAGCTCAATCTAAAAAACTGTTTGTTTACAAAAGCAATTACGCCCAAATCTCAAAGTTCTCCGGATTTACGTGAAATTTAGTTAAGCTGTAAAATCACGTAATTTTTATCTGAATTTCATTTAACATTTAAGTGATCACGTAAATTCTACGTGGATCCCGTGGTAATTACAGCAATGTCCCGTTTTTGTCAGCCCCATGATGAATTTAGGGCTGACAAAAACGGGACGCTGACAAAATCGGGACATTTTTTTTCGCTTAATTTTTTGAACATAATATCTTTAAATGCTGTTTTAAAATGCAAGATTTATGTTTTAGGAATCATTCAATATATACGAGCCCTTTTAGGGGGGCGGGGGGAGCTGGAATTTCAAACTTTTCGTAAGTGTCATATAAGAAAAAACATTCTTACATTGATGGTGTGGAGACGGGGGTGGCTAAATGGACTTAGGTAAGAATTGGATGGCCACTGTGCATATGTGGTTAAGCATTTTCTGGAAGAACAACAATAATAATACATAGTGCATAATAAAGACTTGCATATGTCCCATGGACCCCAGATTAAAATTCTCTGAATGAAATTTGTAAAGATTTTCACACACACACACACACACACACACACACACACACACACACACACACACACACACACACACACACACACACACACACACACACACACACACACACACACACACACATATATACATACACATACACACACACACACACACACACACACACACACACACACACACACACACACACACACACACACACACACACACACACACACACACACACACACATACACACACAGCCGTGCTATTCTGCTCCCAAGAAGGGTGACACCTTCTTGAAATGGCGAGTGGGCTAATAGTGCGGCTGCCCCTGTCCCGGTAAAACCTTGGCAGGCCTCCGGATACGTTCAAAACTCCTCACCAATTGGTGATTGGTGAGTAGTAGGCTCAGATGTAACATTACTGACTTACGCCGATTTGGCTCTGAACACGGCCCCCATGAAGGATCGTATCAATGCAATGTTGGCTGAAGCGCAGGAGACGCTGAAGGGACCAACGAACCCACGTCCGGAGAAAAGAGATAGGGAAACGCCATGAGACGAAGAGGACCCCAAAATCACAAGGACGACGAATACGGGGACAAGGAGCAAGAAGACAGTGATTGGCGTAAAGTCGAAACCCAGAAGGAGAAGAGGAAAAAAATGAAGGAAGAGGAACAAAGGAAGAAGGAACAGAAGAAGAAGGAGGAGAAGGAAAAGAAAAATGAAGAGGAAGAAAAGAAGAAGAAGACGGAAGAGAGGAAGAATGAAATCAAGAAGAAGGAAAACCCCAGGCATCGTAGGGAGAGAAGTAAGGGCGACGCTCTGGTTATCGAGGCGAAAGACAAAACGACATACGCAGTACTCCTCCGGAAAGTGAGAGAGGATCTGGAGTTGAAGCAACTAGGCGAGGACGTGGTGAAAACCAGGCGCACCCAGAAAGGCGAGATGCTCTTCGAGCTGAAGAAGGACTCGTCGGTGAGGAGTTCAGCCTTCAAGGAACTCGTCGAAAAATCTCTTGGCAAGGACGCGAACGTAAAAGCCTTATCGCAGGAGTCAGTGGTCGAGTGCAAGGATCTGGATGAGATCACAACGGAAGACGAGGTACGATGTTCGCTGAAGGTGCAATGCAATCTGGGAGATGTGCCTATGACAATCCGGTTGAGGAAGGCGTACGGTGGTACACAAACTATCTATCTACTAGCTATCCCTCGGGTTACCAAGCAAACGGAGAGATACTTTAAGTGCATGAACTTTGGTCACCAGGCGAGAAACTGCAAAGGCCCTGATAGATCGGAGCTGTGCAGGAAATGCGGAGAGAAGGGGCACGTTGCTAAAGACTGTTTGAAGCAACCGAGGTGCATGCTCTGCAGAAAGGAGGACGGAAACGGTCATAAGACGGGAAGTTTCAGGTTCCCAGCTTACAAAAAGGCGATAGCGGGCCAATAGTAATGGAGATAACCCAAATAAATCTCAATCATTGCGACACAGCACAGCAACTGTTGTGGCAGTCGACAACGGAAACAAAGTGCGACGTTGCAATGATTGCGGAGCTGTATCGAGTCCCTCCCGATAACGATAACTGGGTGGCCGATAGAGTAGGGATGGCGGCAATACAAGTTATGGGCATGTATCCCATACAAGAAGTGGTGACGAGGTCTTACGAAGGTTTTGTGATCGCCATAATTAATGGAACCTTCGTATGTAGTTGCTATGCACCCCCGAGATGGACAATGGAGCAGTTTTCACCAGAAGCTAGATGGACTCACCGGGGAGCTCACCGGACGGAGACCAATCGTCATTGAAGAAGATTTCAATGCTTGGGCAGTGGACTGGAGAAGCAGATGTACCAACGCAAGAAGGTATAGCCTGCTGGAAGCTCTGGTAAAGTTGGACGTCAGTCTGGCCAACGAAGGAACCATCAGCACCTTCCCCAAAGATGGTAGGGAATCCATTATCGACGTCACTTTCTGCAGTCCGTCGTTAGTGGCAAGTATGAACTGGAGAGTGTGAGGAGTACACCCATAGTGACCATCAGGCGATTAGGTACAGCTTTGGTCGACGGATACCTACGGCAATGTGGAAAACGAAAGTAAGCAAGCGGAGGTGGAAGACGAAGGCATTCGACAAGGATCTCATAATTTTCAACTAGCCCCTCAACCCTCCTCCCCCCTGCTTTGATCTTGCCACCACCGCACATTTAATTCTCAAAAAATGTCATTATTGAGCTCGACAATCAATAAAATACGAATACGACTGTACAAAACAGTCCACCTCAACCAAAACTAATTGAATCATATAGGCTGACAAAATCGGGTCAAAAAGCTGACAAAATCGGGGGTAGACAAAATCGGGGGTAGACAAAATCGGGGGCTGACAAAATCGGGTCACCACTGTATTGTATGTCGTTTTTGTTTTTGTGGTTTAGCTACACCGTACATCTAAATTTTTCAGGTTTCACCAATGTAGCTTTGATGGATGGGTTGAGGATCTAACTGAAGAAACTGCTGCATATGGAGACCATCCACCTTGTCGCGGATACGGCATTCGAGACATTTTTTGAAGCTTTTTATCTTTTCTCCAGCCGACGAAGACTATCACGAGATATCTGACAACGGATCCAAATACAAGGGAGCATCATGAGCTCTAACAACTTATGGATATTAGCAGCGGCGGTGGTGTAGTGATAAGCGTGATTACCTCTCATCCCAACAGGCCTGGGTTCAATCCCAGTAGGCGCCGCCGGAATGTTCTGAGGCATAACATCTCTGATCACGCTTTCCTTCGGAAGGGAAGTAAATCCGTTGGTCCTCGGTTCATGAGTTGATGGGTCGATAGGTAGGGTGTGGGAGCTGCCTCCTTGGCGTCGGTAGCATTGGTGCTCAGCACGGAAAACAAGATCGACGGAAAACAAAATCAAGGTAACTAATACGTTATTATTTACCTTTCATTTGATATTTCGATCTTTAAAATCGGCCCAGTGGTTCAAAAGTTGATTTTTTGAAAAACGTCATTTTTGACAAAAAAAAACACTATTTTTTGGACCACCCAAGGGGTTGGTCACTCTACACAGTGTGCCAAAATCAAACTGGGGCACACCCAAGTGCAGTCATTGACGTTGTTTGGCACCCATGGTTACAATTTTTATGATCTTCAAAGTTACTGGCAACACTGAACTTTTCCTGCGCCTGCGCAGTGTACATGTGTCAAAATTTGTTATTGACGTTGCCACTCCTAGTCAAATTCATTTCAAAACAACCGTGAATCCCCACCAAGTCTCGCCATGGATTCTCAAAACCGTTACACCCGTGACGGCAGTCGCATCCACATTTCCTCCCATACGAAGAACAGCTGACAGCGGTATCTTGACCTGACCGAGGTTTCCGGCCATGGCTACACGAACTAGCGATGCATCTCCTACGGCTGCGGCTGCTTCCAATGCTGCTGCTGGTCCGTCTTTTTTGACGAATTTTAGAGGAGACGGACCAGCAGAAGGAACAGCATCAGCAGCAACTAATGCAGCAGTAGCATTGGAATCAGCCGCAGCCGTGGGAGCTGCATCGCAAATTGTGTAACCGTGGTCGACGCTGGAAATCTTGGGCCGGTCACGACAAACGGTGCTTGAGTTTTAATCGGAAAGTCAACAACTAAACAAAAACTATACCATCCGACCATTCGAACTGCCCGAATACATCCATGGCGGTGGCTGCTACATCAACCATTCCATCGTCCAACATATAATGTTGGAGGACCGTCTTGGCAAAATCTCAAATAGTTCAACAAATTTTTACTCTCGTTCCTTTTTCAACTTCCAACTAACACAATAAGAAATTATAATTACGAATCATAACATTAACTACACAAAAAAGGAAAATCCTTTCCTTTTTCAGAAAAAAAGCTTCCGCTCTTTCAAAGCTAACGTGTTTTCGGTGTTCTCGTTGCTCCACGCACCGTTCATCTTCTTGGAGGAGGAGAAGCACAGCTTCATAATGAACGGGAGTTTTGTGCATTTGTGATCATCGCGCTGTGATTGCACTTCATGATGACGTTCACCGCCATGGCTACGCTCGGGAACTCGACCAATCCGGAGGAGGAACTTCCCGATTTCAGCGCACTTGCGACGGGTGGCAGTCCTTGTTGGTGAATGCAGTCAGCAGCAGATCCTCGGACGGCATACGGGTGGGTTATTGAAGAAGTGGAGAATGCGATTTTTGCTGGCCTGGGAAGCGATTGTTCTTGGAGGCGCTGTAGACCTTGAAACTGATCGAATTGTCCTGCAGTACGGGTTGGTGGACTCTGACAAGTAGTTTAGCTTGGAAAATTGGCTGGTCCGTTTCGGGTCAGCGGTGCGTCCTTCATCAGTCCGACGTGTGTTCCGGCCGGTGTTGGTTTCCAGTTTTCCGACGGCTGATACTCGGGCGGTGAAAAATTCGGTGCAAATCCATTTCCTCCGCCGGCTCCCAGAAGGGTTGGTTGACTAATGATTGACGTTCGTTGTGCGGGGTCGGCCTTCCGCCGAAGATGGAAGGATCGTGTAGCAACGGAGCTCGTCCGTTGCAGGCATCCTTGGAGACGGATGCATCCAGTGTGTAGTTCCAACTGGAGTCCGTGTCGTTTTTGAAAACATTGAAAAACAAACAAATATAAGAGCTGTTAAAATACCGGGTTGCCAAACAAGGCATTATTCACAAGCAATCAAAAGTCAGTTCAATGACTTCTTGACACTGCCGGTACAGCTGCGGCACACTGAGGTACACTGAGAAAAAAGTTGGCGCAAAACAAGTGTGTAGAGTGACCACCCCTTGGGACTACCCTAACATAGAAATGGTCACCCTAATGACAAAATAAGAAAATATGGATCTAATTATTGTTAAATTGCAATTAGGACCAAACTACCAATTTTTACGAAAATCTGAGAACCACTGTATCAGTGAGAGCAGAATGTACCTCTCTGAACTCTATGGAACTGTCCGTTTTCGAGCTATGATTTACTGAAAAATTCGAATATGCCATTTTGAATGATTAGGCGCTAGTCAAAATGGCCGAATTCCAGCACAAACTTGGTTTATTGCCCTTAACGAACAATTATGCACAGTTCCATGGAGTTCAGAGAGGTAAATTCTGCTCTCACTGTTTTTTTTTAGAAAACTGGATTTCTTTTTATTCAAGTAAAAGTTAGTAACTGTTTGCTCAGAAGTATCATCGATTTGCGATCTTTGACTGAATAGTTCCCAAACTAAGTCTCTGGTTTTGTCAAAATCTAGCTTTTTTTTAGTTTTTAAATGAATATAAATTTCTCATACAAACTTTAAAGTACTCCCGCAAATCCACATCAAAACCAAAGTTGTTGGGACCTCAATCAATACAGATCGAAAGAGCAGTGGGTAGCAGGGGTAGTTGTAAAGTTGACTCACCCTAATGTACATATTGACAATTGACTAGGTTGGGAAGGGATGATCTCTCATAAACTGTCGGTGTAATTTCAGGACAACTGCTAGTATTTGAAATTTTATTTTTTTTATATTCCTATCCCAAAATATTCAGAATTGACAAACGACATATGCTTGAATAAAGACTGGAACGCGCAAGAATTGGTCGACAACAAAATCGTTTCCTTCAGTCAAAATTCATATCACAAAAATCTTCTTATTTTTCTGTTGGTAGTTCAATTCTAGACCAACAATTGAAATAGGCGGAACAACCAAAAGTAAACAATAAACATTCAAAATACACCCACGCAAATTAACAAAGCCATTCGATAAAGGAAGTGTCCGCTTGCAAATGCTGGTGTTAGATTGCATGGATGTGTTTTGATTCTCGAGAAATTTGCGTTTAAAGTCATTGTTTACGTTTGGTTGTTCCGCCTTTTTCAATTGTTAGTCTAGAATTCATATATTTAAAGAAAAAATGTTCATTTATTCTTTTGGTTTGCCAAATCCGAACTTCCACCGCTCAACCCCTTGCATTAAATTTTGCACAGTGGTCTAATCAACCTTATTCGCCGCTGAACGCTAGTTAGATTTAAACCGCTGCTCGTTTTCCATGGATTTATCAGTTTTTTTTTTTAATTCCGTTTGACTCATGATTTCATGAACAAAGCGTATTTTCATGTTATTAAAATACACCATGAATAATATTCATGATATCATGAGCAACTTTTGCGTAACGCAGCAAACATTCCCAAAATCATGAATCATCCGAGTTGAAATCATGATCTAAATGTAAAAATGTAAAAGATAATAAAATAAAGCATCAGACTGGATTCGAACCAAGAACCTTGAGATCATTAAACCCGTTCTTTGACCACTAGACTATCCTGTGGTTTGATTTTTTCCGTCGATCTTGTTTTCCGTGCTGAGCACCAATGCTACCGACGTGCCAGGAAGGCAGCTCCCACACCTGGACCCTACCTATCAACCCATCAACTCATGAACCGGGGACCAACGGCT